AAAAAAAAAAAATCCCCTCCGAATCCTCCAAAAGAAGAAAGGATAGGAAATATAGAGCGCCGACACGTTTCTCAGGAAGATGGAGAAATGATTAAGACTGAGGGTCCAGGTCAGAGGGGAACGCACACCAGGACTTGCTGACGAGCCATAGGGCCTACTGTCAGAAGAGGATAAACGCTCTATTTTCCGGAGCTTGCCTCCTTGGGGAAGGAACGACAGTATTTGGAGATCTCTATGATTATATGGACTCCCTAGAAGAGTTGCTGGAAATCAAAGCACGTATTATACACCCAGGACATGGCCGAGTAATCCATAATGCTGAAGCTGAAATTCTACAGTACGTTTCTCACAGAAATATCCGAGAACTGCAAATTCTTACATTATTTCCTGAGTTCATTTAAAAACCACTTTCAGCAATGGAGCTTGTAAAAGTTATTTACAAGAATATCCTGAGCATTACATTAAATGGCAGACTGTATTTTCTTATAATGGTATCTCACAACTGATTCATGCAAATCTATTTGTACTCATTCAAAAATGTTAAATTTCCAACTTAGCACATTATATGAGTCATGATTGTTCCTGTAATTCATTAGCGCTACAAACATATTTCTCGTTTAGATTTTACTTTGTAAAGCTTACATATTATATAACAAAAGTTCCTTCTTAAAAGGTGATTTCTTTTTAAGTGGCTTTCTAAATAATGGCTAGGTTCACAGGGTAGCCACCCATGTTGCTTTAACACATAAGGTTGCCAAATTACAATTCTAAAGTAAGTTCAGGATCCTAAGTGTATGCTTTCCTCACTTTTCCCTAAAGAATTAAAATTTGTGTTGACATCCTCACCTTCTGCCCCTTTTCCCAGGGCTCCTAGCATTTTGGTACTATTCTAATGTCCTTATTCTTACGCCTCGGGAACCTAGTGTATTCCCAACACCATTCTTTATTACAAGATAAACTGTAAACTGGGCAAAAAAAAAAAAAAAAAAAAAAAAAAAACTCGATTTTAAAAACGAGCAAAAAACTAAAAATTGAGATTTTCCTAAAAAAGATACACAGATGGGCAAAAAACATGAACTGACATTTTCCATAGACAATATACAAATAGTCAATAAGTACATGAAAAATGCTCAACATCACTAATAATTCAAGGAATACAAATAAAAACTATAGGGTACAACTTCATTTCCATTATGCATTAGGACAACTACTATTTTAAAAGCAAATGAAAGAGGTGAAAATAACGAGTGTTGAGGATATGGAGAAATTAGAGAGAGCCCTTGTGCATTGCTGGCAGGAAGGAAAAATGGTGTAGCTGCTATAAAAAACAATATGATGCTCCCACAAAAAATTACATAATGTTATATAAGTGGAATAAGTAGATGAGATGATGAATGTACTAATTACTCTGATTTAATTATTGTCTGTCCTATTCATATACTAAAAAACCACATTGTAACAACTGTTATGTTAAAAAATTATTAATAGAAAAAATATTTCCATGTACAGGGCCAAGTCCTCGACCCTTACAGTAATGACAGCCATAAACACTGAGTGCTTCGCAAGCACTTAATAAGCATGGGGGGTGGGGTGGGAGTGGTTTTATAACCATTGACCTCTTTTCCTATAGCAAGAATCCACATTCTCTTGTCCAGCTTCTTCTTAAGTTCACTTTCCAGAGATAAGTATTTTTCAATCCTTTAAACGTTTTTTTCCCCCCTGGTGTTTACTTCCACATTTCTAAATAGCATGCCTATATGCTATTTCTTTGACAGTTCTCTTTTGGATACTATTTTTAGACCTCTTGGTACAGAAAAGAAAATTTTAGCTTTAACTCCATCCCTCCAAAGGTAATTTTTATATACTTTTATATAACAGCTTTAAATATTTTATACAGGGACCAGCAGTTGGAGTAATGGCCATGTCACTGGACTCCCATGTATACGACCGCGGTTTGAGTTCTGGACCCAGTGCCTTAAACTCACACCAGGAGCATGTGCATGTGTGCCCAAGATCCCAAGAGGAGAATGGAGGAGAAGGGATTGTGGGGATTGTGGCATGGCCATGCCCCCTGGGGTGTGATTTCTCGCTTTCTGTCTGTCTTTCTGTCTTTATGGTAAGTGCATGCACCCTATAGCAAAAACTTCTCGAAAAAATACTTTATATATATATATATACATATATGTGTGTGTGTGTGTATATATACATATGTATGTGTATATATAATATATACATATATTTATATAATAGCTTTACATCAATTATCAGCATTTACATTATTAAGACTTAGGACTGTCATTTATGGCTGAACTTACAGTACTTTATTATTACATTTCCTTTTATCATCTACAGGTAGTAATTTTCTCCCCACTTGCTTGTTTGCTTGGCACACCTATGATCACACTTATGATTATGGTTCAACTCTCTGCAAAACCTGTAAACCTTTCAATGTACTCAAAAGCATCAGTCAAAATTTCAGAGGATATGCATGATCTATCTCTCCCTTCCTCTTATGTGTGCATATTTTGTTTCTTGGAAACATCCTTCCTAAAGCTGTCCAGCTTCCTGTCCCACTGTGAATATATCGTTCTCTTGACTTAAGCACAGTTGTCATCCTGATTCATACCTCCCTTCTCTTTGCTATCTGCCCTGTTTCCTAGCTCTCGTCTTTTTTCTTGTTACATAGAATATATCTTCCAACACTTTCTTGAGAAGATACAGGAGGGCTAAACTCTTTGAGGCTTAAATAATAATATGTCATTATTCTATCCTCACACTTGGTTGAGAATTTGATTGAGGACTTTTATTTTTTTTTAAATTATTATTATTAGACATGTGTGGGAGAGAAAGAACTCCCAATGGGGCACTTAGGTATCTTTTTTCTTACATTTCACCCTATCAGGTTAGGGCCTGCAAGAGGATGAAGAGGTTATGCATTTAAAGGTCTTATAATAGTGTTTCATAGTGTGCTGTAATGTTTTCAACATTTATCATCATCTCATATGTTGTGTGTTTGATGGAGACTGAATTTTCATCCCACATAGATGTCCATGTCCTGGAGTCCTCAAAACTGGAGATGTCCTTACATAGTAAGGACTTTGCAGGTGTGATTAAGTTAAGGATCTTCAGATGGAGAGATTATACTGGGTAATCTAGATAATTATGAGGAAGACGAATAGATCGGAGACACAGAGAAGGTGACGTGATGGCAGAAGCAGAGCAATATTAGAAGATACTCTGAAGCCGGCTGGCTTTGAAGATACAGAAAAAGGTGATCACAAGTAGGCTTTACAAGCTTGAAAAGTAAGGAAATATTTTCCCCTAGAGCCTTCAGAA